CCTGCACTTTTCTTGCTCAGCTGCTTTCTTAGCTCTTTTGGTGCCATCTGTACATACAGCACACCCTTCTCGAAGCTTGCAAAGGCATCCAGCTCACGGCACATAGTTTAAAGCAAGTTCTCATGGGTAACTTGATGAATTTTTAAAAAAGATCTTTTATTAAAAACAAAATAAACAACTCCTCTTCCTCTACCCCTCAGTGAAAGGGCCAAAGTCTTCGTGGGCAAGTGTGTGGGCTGGGACACCCCAGCTCTACCTGCGCGTAGAGCGACTTTACTGAGGTCTCCTGACACATGAAATACTGTAGGTCCAGCACTGAGATCTTTGACATCCCCATTATCTACTGTTACTCCTCCTGCAGCTTCTTATCAATTGTCCTTTATAGTAATTTCAGTCTCCTCAGACTTGCTTTTTACCTTGCCCGTTGCAGAGCTCTTCCAGCTGCTGCTGAAGCTGCAGCAGATCAAGGTTTTGAAATCGCACGGGCAAACGTAAGCAGGCATCTTGGCTATCGTACTTGGTAGCCAGTCAAAGAAATATAAATTATATTTAGTTGCTAGATTTTTAGTTGAGATGGACTTATATTTCAGTGTCTTTACTTGCAGGAGTATTATCACATCTATTAGTAGGGACACAATCGGGTCTAAGCTTCAGGGATAAATGAAACCCAGATTTTGAGGCAAATTCTGCTTAAGCTTGGCTTTTTTTTTTTTTCTAACCAGGAATATGTAGAAATTCAGCCAAATGGCTAAGGCTCTAAAACATGATCCATAGAGACTTTCTATTCTGGTTTTCTAACAGTACGTAAGACCTACTTTAGAGCAATTCCTAAGATGAAAGGAAGAACACGTGGGCTGTCCTCCTTGTCTCACAATCCCTGCTTTCAGCAGCTGTAACCTCCCTACATGCGGACAGGGAGGGAGAAGGGGGATTTTTGCATTTTATTGGCATGGCAAAAGGTATCTCTCCAACATCTGGCACGGTTGACCCTGGGACACAAAGGAAACCATTTCTTATTGTAAAAATAATGGTAGATAAGAGTTTTGACAAGAATAAATCTGGCAACCACAAGGCTCAACATGTGAGTAAATCCCCCAAGAGAGTTTTGGATTAGCTTTAAAATTGTTGCAAACTCAGCTAATTCCAGGTGCTGCTGGAAGTGTTTGGGCTGGCGCTCCTCTCTCAGCAGCTTAAAGCTTTTGGGACACTTAAATAAACCTGCCAGAGCAGTAAATAAATGAGCAACAATTCAAAAAAGCCCCCAGGCCCAGCATGTGCCTGGGTACGTCCCCTTCGGTAGCAGGGCTGGGGAAGAGGGGCTGCGGCAGAGAGACGGTCGGCGCATGGAAAGCATCGATTCGGAGAAGGATTTCCGGGATTTTGTGGTCTGGCTGCTGCCTGCTGGCCCAGGAGTGCCCCAGGCTCGCTGAGCACACAGGCACGGGTGGGGAGAGCGCGGCAGGGGAGGGAGGCTGAGGGCAGTTAGTAGTGATTTTTCCATGGAAAGCAAATAGCTAGTAATTCCTCTGAAGTACCATCATGATGTAATTGGCAATTTCAGCTGCTTCTTACTTCATTCAGGGCAACTCCCTAGCGCATCATGTTTTCTCAAAGGATAGCTTCTATCAGTTTTAACTACATTGTAAATTAATAGGTAAAATATATTTCTGCTGACCAGAAAGGCTGTATTTTCCAATTAATTCAAGCGTAATGAGATTCACATATAAAATCCGGGTTTGAAAATTAA